GGAAATAAAAACAATATTTATGCGGACTGTAAAGCGCAAATTATTTACACAGGGCACAGAAATAACAACGTTGCAAGTTCTTTTTACTGCTGGCACAGATTATTATAATAAAACAAATAAATACACAAAGGACGAGCGCGCTCAGGCTGTGGCTCTCGCTCTGGGCGTCCTCATGTACAACGGGGCGTATGCGTATGTGTGTGTGTGTGTGTGTGTGCCAGCGCGTATTTATGGCAAAAAGTTGCGAGGGTCACAAAATACGCGCAAGGCACAAAATTTTGCAAGTTTTGCTCTACGTGCCGTGTGTGCATGTGTGCATGTGTGACTGCCTTTTCGACTGGCTCTGTGTGTTGTTCCATTGTGGCATGGAAATCCATGCCGCTAATAATGTTTATGTAAAAACTCTTTGGAGTACGAGCTTTCGCAATAATTGCATTGTTTGCCCCCCACCCTTTACCCACAACCGTTCACACTATTTGAATGATAATTAAGTGTGCATTACGTGTGTTGGCTTGAAAAGCCAACAGAAAATGCCCTCAGGACGAAAAACTACCAGTTCGAATTGTGTTTTTTAGCTGGTTGGAGAAACGAAATAAAAAAGGGTGTGGAGTGTATGTGTGTGTGTATGTGTGCAAGAGAAGACTTTCTTTTGAACTGGAAGTGTGTATGCCTTTACGTTTTTCGAGCGAACTCGCAGGCGAATAATAAATTTTTACAATGATAAATAAGAAGGGTAGATTTCTTGGTATTTCCTACGAAAATTCATTATTAAAAGCAATAATATGGAAAATACTAGAAATTAAAAATAACAAGACAAAATTTTTGAATAAATAATTGGGTTGCTTACAAGTGTTGTATATCTTGGTATTCGAAAATTTAGAAAAATGTAAGCAAAATGCTGATTTTCGGCTAAAATTCATTTAAATATATAATAGAAGTATTTCTTAAGTTCAATTTTTTTTTAATTTTGCATAAATAAATAAAAATATAATTTTAATAAATCAAATTTTTAAAATTAAAATATTTAATTTCTCTATATTTAAATTAAAATATAGGAACATATTAAATTTAGAAAACAAAATGTATACAGAATGTTCTTGAACATAAATTATTAAGTTTTAATATAATTCTTATTTCCTCATTGTCTCAATTATATCGTCAAGCGTGTTTCTCCTAATATACTCTTAATTTATATATACATAAAAAGATAACTGTTTACTACGCTATATTTACCGCTTTTAGCCCACTAAACTCGCTGAACGTGTTCGCCGGCAGTTAGCATTAAAAATATGACAAAAGAAATTTCCATTGCATACAAACAGGCGCAGTGCGGCGCGTGTTGTAAAATGTGTTGTAAAACGCGCGTGTCGCGGCACGACAACTATAATTTAAATGCTGCTGTAACACTTTAATTTAATGGATTTACATGCGCCGTTAGCGCACAAGGGGTTCGAGCTGCTCGAAGACAAGCCACAAAATGTGTAAAGCCAAATAGCTTCAAAGTTACGTCCCATAATGAGCATAAAAATATAATGCCCAAATAAATAAATATATATATATATATATATGCATGCATGTATGCATTTACAATGTAAGCTGAGCAAACAACACCAACCCCTGGCAGTCCCTCGATGAGTAAACTGCTGAAAATTGTTTACCAAAGCATCGGGCTGATGATGTCATCAGCTGAGCGTCAGATATCGGAGGAGGGTTGTTTGCCAAATTATGCATCCTGAGTTTACGAACAAGATGATGAAAAGAGGAACAAAAATGAAACCCATTGCAGAATCAATAACAATAAACAGAGCAGCGCAACTCCAGAAACTTCAAGATGCGAGTCAGACGTCGCCTTTCGCTACGGCCAGACGTCCCGTCCAACTGGCGCCAATATGTGCAGACATACATATATACCATATCTATATATGTATATATTTACTTTTCTTTTTCGAGGGTGGCTCTGGTTGGTGTTGCTGCTGCTGCGATAGTTTTGCCCGCTCACTGAACTCCACTTGGCAACAAATTTGAAACAATTTTTTAAAAATATCTCCCAACTTTGCAATTTCGATTTCATTAATTAGAAAAATATCCTCAGGCTTGTGGCGTTAATTGAATTTTGGAATTTTATATAAGTAACAGAAAAAAATCCAGCAAAATATGTAAGCAGTGACTTTTCACAGTTTGTTAATTGGAAAACAACAAAAAGAACAACAAAGGAGTTTTGTTAGAGTTAGGCCGCTGGCCCGCTGGCGTTAAATTCAATTTTCGCTTTCATCTTTTAATCAATTGCGTGTTAATTAGATAATTTTTTAAGTAATTAACAGCCGACAGTTGCAGTTGAAACAGAAGTTCCCAAAGCATTTCTGCTGCAGGTTCGGAAGAACCTAGCCTGGAGGCCTAGAAAAAGTTGGATGCCTCAAAATTGAGCTAATTTAGCTGATTGTGATTACAGCAGCTAACCAGATTGCCACATTTATAAGAATGTGTTGAGCTCAGCGAAAAGGACTTCCTTCCCGGAGAAGCAAAATTATCGCATGAAAGAAGCGAAGGGAAGGGCAGTGTTTTTTAGACTTTTTTATATTTTTAACCACTTCTAATTAAGGTAGGATAAGCGCTAAGCTAACAGAAAAGTGTTTGTTGTTAAGGACTAGTTGAGAGTTCTGATGCAGATAGGAAAACAATAAGACTATTGGCACAATATGATAATAACAATTGGTTGCAGATAAGCTATTAGCCTTGGAGTATAGGAATATATTTTAGCTAGGCGATAAGAATAAGCTAGTGAGCCACACAATAGAGAAATGGTAGATGGCATTGAAGACAGAATGAGAGGAGAAGGAAATGTGAGAAGAAATGAGAGAAATTTAGAAGAAAATGAGAGAGAAGATAAAAGAGGGCAAAAGGAACAGGAAATGAGAAATGATTGAAAGAGATGATGTGAGGATGAGAGACTGAGAGAGAGAGAGAGCGAGAGAGAAAGTCAGCGATACGATAATACAGTACTAAAGGTGGAATATTGTAATGGATCGAGATCGAGAGAGAAAGAAAGTCAAGTACAGCTGGAGATGAATGTGAAATACACATAAGTAGAAAATACAAATAGGTAGAGAGAGTGAGAAAGAGAGAGAGAGAGAGAAAGAGATATTCAACTACAAGGAGAGATAAATTAAACAGAATTCTAATAAAAATTAAAATTCAACTGAAATGGTGCAATCTTTATCCTATGCAAAATTACAACAAATTTGTTTCTAGTGAAATTTGCTGTATACCAAAATATAAATATAAATATGAAAATCTCTACCATCTCAATTTCTGCCCCGACTATCTTTCATTTCTATGAATTCCCCCACTCAACGAGTATTTAGAGTAATTTCACTAAACTAAATATAGCCGAGGCTAGTCCAATTAAAAAACCCAAAGTTGAAGCTCCTCATACACAATATTAAGTTGATATTACTCAGAAAGCTATTAAAATAGTTGATATGAATTTTGTGGAAACCAAATACCTGTCTTTCATTTTAGACCAGAAAGTAAGCAAACTCTATATTGCACATAGATATGTACATTTATGTTTTCAGCTCTTCTCCATCTGCACTAATTAAATAATAAATTTAAGTTCAAGTTGTTTTAGTTGTTGTAGCTGTAATTTGTTTGTTTGTCTGGTTGTTTTTGTGGATAGGAGGAGCAAGAGAAGCGGGTGGGACACGCCTGCATTTGTGTTTTATGGGTGGGTACGACATCGTTGCGGTCGTCATCAGCGCCGTCAGCGTCGATTCATAAAAGCTCAGCGCACAAATACAGACAAGGACAACAAGGAGCGGGGCACCTGCATTGCATTGCATTGCGTTGCGATGCAATGCGTTGCGTTGAGTTCCGGTACTGCTAATTACTCAAGCAGACGGGCACGATGAGGACTCAAGGACCTTGTCCGCGGCAGCACCACATATAATGAACATATGCCAACTGTGCGACACAGTGGCATAAAAAGGTTTTTCCTCTGCTGCTACTCCCAGATTTTTTTTTTTTTTTTTTCGCCACTTCACAAGTTATTTACGACTACGCGGGATGGCGGTGAGCGGAAGGTGCGGGAGGCGTGGCACTTGCATATAATGCACACAACATAATTTTAATTAGTGGCATGTGAAAACCCATAAGAGAGATAGACCAAACAAACACACACACACAAATAGAAAGAGAGAGAGAGTGAGTGAGAAAGAGAGGGGGAGCGGGTGGTAAAGAGGGAGGGACAGAACTGTGCTTGCAACAAAAATTATTATGTTATTACGGCTTTTGAGCACAAGCCGCTTATGCGTGGGCGGCCACAGCGGACCAAAAAGGGCGTGTCCCAGGCAAGTTATGTGGGGATATATACATATATATATGTGTGTGTCTCTGGGTTTTATGCAAAATAAATTGACAACACAAGCAAAAACATATTTGGGTCAGAAAGTTTTTTTTTTTTTTTTTTTTTAAAGGGATCAAAATTTGAAGTTGAAGAAAATGCAAGTGGAATTAGATGATGTGAGTAAAGAGATTACAGTTTTTTTTTTTTTTTTAATTCAGATTTATAATTCTAGAATTAGAAAAATATGGTAAATTGACTAGTCTGCATTAAACTCCTGACGGACGGACGGACAGACAGACGGAAAGGGCTATATCGACTCAGCTCGTCTGCTAATCAAGAATATACATATATACTTTATGGGGTCTGCGATGATTCCTTCTGCCCGTTACATACTTTTTCACAAAACCATTATACCCTGATTTCCCATTTTCAATGGGTTCAGGGTATAAAAACTTAAATTAATTACTTAAATCCCAGTATATGCACTAAATAGTTTTTCACTAGTACACATACTAAATTAATATAATTTCAATCAAAATAAATCAACTCAGTTATGAACTATTGAGCTAACTAATCTAGTTAGCTACGCTAAATAACAACAGTCATTCAACAAATCGAGCTCCAAGTGAAAAGCGATCTAAACTTTCTTTTTTTTTTCAAAAAAAAAAAAAAAAAATTAAGCTAGTCCAAAATTTGTTCATCATTTCATCCGATGCTAGTCAAGTATTTCGTAGTACATTTCAGTCGAAATATGGTTCTACGGCAATAAACATTTGCGAGAGTTTTTCCAAATTCAAGCACTCCATGCTTTCTCATTCAATAAAATTTGTGTCAATATATTTATATATGTATTCGTTGTAAATGCTGCACCACGCGAGGCTCGTAGCAGTTGCTGTCAAAACTAAAAAAAAAAAAAAAAGGACTGCTTCAATGTTGAATGTTGCTCGAGTTTGCACAGTTCCATAAAATTTTTGGTTTCTAAAAGCACAGAACGAAATTCGTGATTTTCAAAAGCCAAGTTCCAAAAAAAATAAAAAAGAAAACGAAAATTCCGAAACAAAGACCACCTCAAAACATCGCAAACATTGTAAAGAGAAGAGCACCATGTGCAGTCTAGACGATTTCTTTGCTAAGAAGGACCGCAAAAAGTCCACAACAAAAACAAATCTCTTGGCCGCCGACGAGCTCTATCGCACACTGGAGGAGACCGCCAAGGCGCCCCAGGAGGTGGACAGCGCCGAGAAGCTGCAAGTGGAGGGGACCAACAATCAGCATCAGCTTGAATTCGGCATACGCTTCTCCGACGAGACCATCGATGAGGAGGATGAGTGGTGTGACTTCACCGAGGAGCACGATCAGCCATTTCCCAATCTCAAACGCAACTCCAAGCTGATATTGAGCGCAACGGCTGCGGCCGCCAACGAGGATGCGAATCTGACTGACGAGAACTGTCCCTACCAGGATACGGGTGGCGATGGCCTGGGCGTCGGCTCGGCCCAAGACGAGCTGGGCAAGCCAGCCTGTCCCTGGCTGAAGCTGGAGCCCACCGAGCTCACCAACATCTCAAGTCCAGCCAAGGAGGACGCTCTGGAGCCTGAGCCGGCACTCAATGCCTCGCAGTCGCAGTTGCCGCTGCTGCCTCGATCCCAATTGAAGGCACAGTCACAGTCTCAAGTACAAAACCAATCGCCGTTGCAGTCCCAGTCCCAGAGTCAGTCCCAGTTGCAGTCGCCGTCTGAGTCGCAGTCCCAATCACAGACAACACTCAAGACTCAGCCAAATAATGTGGTCAAGAAGCAGGTCTATGTGCCGCCGGCTCTGCGCCAGAGCCAAAGCGAGTTTAGTGTTCGTCCACGCAAGCAGGCGAATTCTGTGTCCATGAAGCTGGCCAAGGGCCAGGCGCCCGACATAAACAATGTCGATTTCTTTCCATCACTCTGTCAATCACGCAGCTCAAAGCGTGCCAAGTAGTTTTCGCATTCATCATTTTTTTTCTAACGTTTTTTTTCTAGTTAACAAATTTAAATTTGCAACGATTAAAGCTTGAGTCCCGATTAAAAAAAAAAAAAAAAAGATTAAGACAATCTAGCTTTCTTCACTTCCACTCCCACTCTCACTCACTCTCTCGCCCTCTGTCTATCTCTGCCTTGATCGAATCCCTGGCGTGTCATTAGCTGTAAACAAGCCAAATATTTACAGCCAAATCGTTTGAGCGCTAAATGCACCCCGCGGACTGTTTTACGCAACACGCGCCAAACTTTGCCAACAAAATATGTTCATTTCGGGCATTTATCATATCATTAGATTATCTTTTACGGCCTCATATGACCATGAATAAATAAGGCATAATCAATTTATGTGCCGCAGATTAAAGTATTCGAATGCTTAAGTCGCTTGGCCGAAATGTTATTAATTGTAAAGCCATTTGGTATAGACAATGGAAAATATAATTCATGTAAATTTAAATAATGTAAATTTAAAATAAAAATATTTATAAAAATATATTAGTATGTATACAAATGTATAATAGTTTAATTGATATAAATATATTTTTTGTACGATTTAAATTAGATAATACACACCGGGAATTCGTTGTTACGCACAGCTTCAATGAAAAACCAGAATGAGAAAAGCAACGCCCCGACATATATGTATTTAATATAACCATAATTTACCACATTGTAATTGTAATATGTGGCTACCAGAGTATACTAAATTCGTGAAATTTTTTAATTTTTATTTATTTTTATTTTTATTTTTTTATATAAATGTATTTAATATTTTACACCTTTTTCATATAAATAAAGAAATAAACAAAAGTTCTTACTCGTCCTTATATAAAGAAAATTTTTATTTTAGGCTTAAATTAAAGAAGAACTTCAAGTCACTTATTAATATTTATAGATGTATAATAAATAAATAGTAGAATTCCGAATAAGTCTTTTTTTTTTTTTTAGGTTTTTGTTTACCGAATTATCGAGACTCGACTGTATTTACAATAGCAAACTATGTGAACTATTATTATATCCTATATGAAATAAATTCAATAAATTGAATAAATTTCGCTTACAAGCATTGGAAATATTTAGTACATTCATTATTTCGTATTCTGAAATTGAGATAAGTGGCACCAAATGTCAATTTAAATGTATCAAATATCCCCGTCTTCCTAATATTTGATTGAAAGGACATTGAACATTGACATACTGAAATGCTAGTAGAAAGTAGACGGTTCAATTACGACCAATGCTTAAGAAATAACAGCTTTATATTTGTTTTTCTCCATTTAAAACTGACGTAAAATTTATTTGGACGAACATTTTGCATGTTGTAATAGATAATCCGTTAATGGTTTGCGAGTAACGGGTCACAAGTGAAAGCAGTGTCAGTCAGCGTGGAATTATTGCGATATACGTCCTCTGCCTCGACCAGTTTTTGAAACCTACTTTCCTTCTAACCAGGCTAGCAGTGGCCACCAAAGGGTCCATAGCAGGAGCAACATCCATATGGCCCTATTGGACCGCAGCAGTGGTTGACTGCCCTAAACCACTGTCCATTGTAGGGCCCGCAGAAGCCGCATGGGCCCAGCCCACCTGTTGGGCCGCAACAGGTGCCAGGCATTGAACGCAAGCAAGGATTACACATTTTCGTGCTAAGTAAAAGGAAAACCAAATTTACTTTTTTTTTTTCTTTTTTTTTTTTTTTTTCTTTATACTCACTATAGCCTGTTTACGGAAGCAGGTTATCAAAAAAGTTTGTGAAGGTTTTTTTTTTTTTTTTTTGTGCTGAAAGATGTTTACTCTTCAATAGCCGAGACGATTATGAGAATTTAGAGTTTTGGCTGTGAGCAAGGGGCTTCGTGGCTCAAAAATTGAATCTCAAAGCCTGCTGTGGCAACAATTTTTGAAAAACTAACCGTCTTTTTTTCTAGAAAATTGTTTGTTTGCTTGCCTACTCAGTTAGGCTTCCATTTCATGGGCTGCTATATAAGTGAACTGCAAAATGATCGATGGAATACCCAGTTTTACTCCTTGCTTTAGTCAGTATAGGAAATTGCAAAAACTAGGGATGCTGAAATTTGTGTTCATATGTTTAGAGACAGAGACTTTTTTTAAACTTTGTATAGACATATATTTGAGTAATTTTAAGAGGGTTTTCAATGTTTATTTGATATACGTAAGCTGTACAGGGACTGATTTTGAATTGCTTCAAGGTACAGCGTGTGGAAAAGATTAAAAATCTTTGGCTCAATAAGATACCAGCTACAGTCTTGCCTCTGGCATTCTCGCGCTCCCCAAGTGCCTCGTCAGCTCTTTAAATTCGATTTTACAGTATTTCGAAGCACTCACGGGCAAAAGCTCTCATCTGCATTTCGAGTCTCGTATGTTTTTTTAGCTAAGATAATGCTATTTAATATAGACCAGAGTGAATGGAAGAGCTACTAATTGAAATAACGCTCGAAACACTCTTTATTCACTCAAGTTATGTGGGGGAGCTGCTGATTCTTTGTCTGCTCATGGCTTCAAAATGACCTCCCAAAACATACTCACACACGGACACAACTTTATACCCTTAATACCTTTTTTTTTTTTTTTTTTTTCTTGGGCTAGAAACAGAGCAGCTCTCTTACCTCTTGACTTTACGTTGAGCCCTTAAGGGTGTTCGCTTGACACCTGCTGCTATATTCAGAGAATGCTCGAGTAGTTTTAACTCCCAAATGAACTACTTAAAAGTAGGCCAAGCAGTTGTTATAGCCCTTTGCTGCACTTGCAGCCTTCAACAAATAAGTCTGCGCAGATTTTTTCTTCTTCGGTTCTACATATAATTTGCTCTCGGAAATAAATTTAAGTATAATCTGTAAATGTCTGAGATTTAAGCATTTCTTTTACTTCATACATTTTTCACATTCACTTTCAATTCCCATCGAGTGCTGCCCATCCCCCATCCTCTCCAGTTGGCCAGACTTTGCATTCGCTTTGTTCTGATGGGTCCCCAGGCTAGCCATTAGCATTTGTGCTCTGTTAAGCTTTTGTGGAAATCAGCGCCCACAGACCCACAAATCTGTATAGTCCATGGCTGAAGCATAATATCAAATGGAAATTCACTTGACTGCACTTGTGAAATATTTGCAGTGTCGCTTGCCGCTTACCCCTGAGGGTTTGCCCCTCGTTCGAGCCATAACTCAGCGAGAGCCGAGCAACGCAACAAGTGTAGTTAAACTCCTTTTGCTATGCTCGGGTTTTTTTTTTTTTTTTTTTGCTGTTGCTTCTTTTGATTGTTTTAGCTATGTAGTTAAGATGGAAACCACTTTTCTTGACTGTGCATTTTATAGGAGAAATATACTGTTCCTTTACCGCGCTGCCTCGCCCACTAGAGTAGCTCTTGCTCTTGTTTACTCCAAGCCGGATTCACAGTCAAAGCGAAGTAAAGTCATTTGACAAGTTTTGTCACGTGCGTCACATGTTGGAATGTGCCCAGCTCAGCGAAGGCAGCGCTGCCTTCGTCCTGCCCTCTCTCTCTCTCTCTCTCTCTCTCTCTGGCCTCGCCCGGCCTCGTCCTGCCTTGTGCATTCATTCTGGCTTCAGCACATTTCAAGCAATTTTCCACACAGCAGTTGTCGTCATTGTTTCACAAAATTATTCTACTTGTTGTCGTTGTTGTTGTTGTTGCTGTTGTTGACCTGGTTTTTCTGCTTACACAGCGCCCAACACTTTTGTTGTTGCGCCGTTGTCCTGCTGTCGCCTTGAATCTGAGAGTGTTGCTCTTGTCGCTTCCGTTGTATGTTTAAATGTGTTTGTGATTATTTAGTTATGGCATCTAATTGAGTTTGCTGTTGTTATTTGTTTTAGTCATTGTCTGTGTGTGTGTGTGTGTGTTTGTGTGTGTGCTTGGCGGTCCTTGTGCTCTCTGGCTAATTGAGTTGATTACCTCAACATCTTGTCAGCTTGTCCATCGACAGAAAGAACTCAAAGTTTAAAGATTGAACAAGGCTGTTAATTAAGAGAATTTGTCAGTTTGAAAGGTCATTGAGCTGGAATAAGGACATTTCCTTCAAGGATCTGCTCTAGAATTACATTATATAACGAAATGTTGGAGACGATCGTAAAGCCAATCAAATTGTTTAATAAAATTCCATTGAACTAAAGTTTCCTATTATACCTATTATTATTCTTATAATATTCTTATACATCTGATATATCGATACACCCGCTCTAGCCATTGTGAATTGCCAAGGGTATGCCGCATAAATAAAAAACATAAATATAAACTTGTTTATCAACTTCAACTAACCCATACAAAAGCCAAGTACCAGCCCACGCACACACACACACACATACACATTCACATTGAGCGACTCACGTTAATGCTCCTTGAATCGTTCACAATAGACGATTGGCAATAGACAAACTCCATTTGAGCGTATAATTGCATGCAACGGCAACGACTTTATAAGTCAGCATCCGTTCGAATCGATGACGTCTTTACTCACTCTGGGGTTTTGTGCTTTTGATTGCTCAATTGCTGATGGACTCAATGACAGACTGACTGACTGACTGACTGACTGACTGACTGACTGAGTGATTGACTGGGCGCTGGACTGTATGGGCGAGTGACTGACTTGGCAGACTTGTTGTGCATTTCAATAAAACATTCACCGCATAACTACAATGGGCATAAGTTATGCTCCCCTGGCGTCGACATCGAAGTACTTGCTCGGATTTCAACGGCTCACGGCTCAGCAGCAGCTCCATGAAAGAGACGGCCATAGAGAGATAGCAATAGAGGCAAACAGACAGAGAGTTAGAGATGGCCACAGAGCACTTGACTCGCACTAATTCCCGCAGGATGATAGAACCTGCATTGACTGGACTGATTGATGGTATCCGCTCAAACTGCTTTGTGTGGCATTCAGCGGCTTATTTAAGTTGGCCTAAGCACGCCTTCAATGCATTCAAGTACATCCAACAATGGTCATAATCGATAACAATGATGTATAAGAACCTTTTAGATCCTACATCAACTTATGGAAAATAATTATTAGATTCACGTCGATCAAATAATTACTCATTTAAAAGTATTCCAAGTACTAAAAATAAATTAAAATGATTAAATTTTTATATATTTAATACTTATATATTTTTTAATATTTATATTTTTTCATTGAGTAATTATTTTACTTTTTTTTTCAAATACTTTTTATTATGTTGAAATCAACTGTTATCAATCAAAGTTTATATAATTATATGTAATTATTTTTTATAATTTTCTTGAATAATTGATCATTTCTGATATATTTCTCATTGAGTAATTATTTTATTTTAAATACTTTTCATTAAGTTAAAATTTCTTTTCTTGAATAATTGATAATTTACTTTTTTCTTATAGTTTTTCTAGCGGCTTTTCTCCCATTAATCAAAACGAAAAATTACAACAACAACAGCTAAAGAGTTATCGCTGGACTTCCGCTGCACGGTTGGCGCTTTGAATGGGGACATTGAACTTCCTCAATTTCGAGCAGCTTGAGGCATTCCATAGCACAGCTTTGATTCAAAAGAAAACTGCTGCAAGCACGTAACATTAAACAGGCAACAGTCACAACATGAGTTTATATATATATGTATATACTTGTGTATATTTTTTTAAAGCTCTTCAACTTAGCACCGCAACAATGCAACGAAATATGAAACCAACACGCGATGTACAAAATAAACAGAAATTGAAATCCGGCAAAGCTTTAAATATATTTAAAACATTTCTATAATGTGTATTGGAAATAAAAAATTCTCTTTTATATTTCACTTTCTCTTTGTCTGGCATATCAAAAGGCAAGTGCTATTCGGTCAATGGTTCTCAATGGCCGCTTCAAGTCTCGCATTTTCTCATTCATATTGCGATCAATTAATTAAATTGAGTTTTGCTCTTGCTGCAATTTGCAATTATACAAAAAGGTATTCAAGAACAGTAGCAACAGCAACAGCAGCAGAAGCAGCACCAACAGCACCAAACTACAAATCAATCAAAAATGCTTGTTATTTGAATTTAGAATTCGTGAATTACACTTGGCATTGGGGAAAGCTTTGAATACTTGCCATAAAATATGTAAGACATTGCCTTCTACGTCAAAACATTTGATGATTGGAAAGCATGAATTCAGATAAAATACCCTCGCAAAATTGATGCTTTATTATATAAATGTAATTATCATTTTTCGTATAAATACTAGGAAAAGAACCAATTAATAAACCTTTAGATAGAATAAACATTTTTTGTATATACATGAAATTACCAAAGAATTACAGATTTTTTTACGAAAACATATGGTATATTTTTTAAATATTTATTTTCTTAAATAAATCGTATTTCTGTATTCAACTTGCCATACTTCGTCCATTCATTTATCATTTCTATCAATGTATTTGAAATATCTCAAATTGGAACTCATTTTGCCGGCATTTAAGTAATTTAACTTTTCTATCTAGGCTGCTGCAATCAAATTGAATTAGATGTGCTTAAATTGCTCAGATCATTTGAAAGTTGTTTGGGCCTTTTCGGATTTTGCCATAAATCATTAAGCTAATTAATTTAAATACATGTGCCAAATTAGAAGCGTGTAACAGCTAACAGCTGTTCCACCTACAAACGCATAAATCTCGAAAGCAATTTGTCCTTAAAGTGTCATAAAATGCATGCAGCTCCAGCTAGTTAGCAAGAGTTGAAGAGAACTTCAAGTAAAAGTTTATAATTAAAACTTTACGCACGTTTTGTCTAAGTAAATACAACACACACACGCACACACAAAACAGATAGAGGGCGAGAGCGAGAGCGAGAGAGAGAGAGAGATCGAGTCAGTCTAACAACATGGCAACTATTTGGCTTTGGCCTTTTCGTATGCGTGATGCGCATAAAAATTTTGTGTTGCATACTTAAGTGGGCGAGCTGTTGCCCCAGGGCTGCATTCGCAATGCCGGACATCTGCTCAAAGCGCGAGCATATGTCCCATTTCCCAACGGGCTACGACTGACACTCATTACGTGGCAAGCTCACTAATTTCAACAGATAAAATGGTAAGCGAAAGAAATGAATATAAATGAATAAATACTATATACAAACTATAATTTTAAAAAAGAATAAAAAGAAAATATATATAGACATGGAGAAAAAATTTTGAAAATTCCACTCAGTTAAATGAGCTTTAAAATCGTCTTAAGTATAAGTAAATAAATTTTGAAATTCAATAAAATGATATATTAGTAATTTTAAAGAGTAATAATAATGCAGTTTATGTTCCTTAGAGCCAATTAAATATAAGAAGTCCAAAAACTTTAGCTTATATGAATTAATATAGCAAGCAGGAACCTTTGAGTAAAAACTCATATAAGCGATATCTAAAAAATATATATTTACGTAACAAGAAAAAAATCAATATAAGCCTGTATGAACTAAACTAAATTTTAAATTAATATATTTATAGTTAAAAAAAATAAATAAATTAAATACAGGTAAACAAAATTTGTTTAATTCAAGTGGAATATATATTATTAATATATGCATATATATTTATTGTTATTAATATTGAATATTCCGATATAAGCGTGAATATTTCAAATGTCAAATACTCGCTTGTTTTTCCATTACATAAAAATGCGCACATGCACACACATATGAATAATATTTATAAAATAATTCCAGGGACAACAGCAGAAAAGTGAAGCAAACAAGCACAACTAAACGAAAGTTTAAATGCAAATATTTGCCCAATGTTTGTGCTCTACTCCCATGAGGCTGGGCCAACAAAATTTGATATGAGTTTATGGTCAGTTGATTCAGTATTTTTATTTTTATTTTATTTTCCAGCTGCTGATTTACATAAAAGACAGTGTCCGTCGGACCACTAGTTTATTTGAATTTCATTAGCTACGAATTTTAAATTAATTTAATTAGCACTTTTGGCTCTTAATTTCTTATTTTACTTGGTTCTTTACAGGATAATAATTTAATGAAAAGTAATTGCAGCACGTGCGAACATATCCCAACATGGCTGTTGCAACTTAAAGCTGCCGCAAAATGTGGCACACAGATATTGGCCAACAGACCAGGACCAGGCATTCATTTGCGTGTTAATTGTCGAAATGATTCGTCGCCTGACGACTTTAAAAATTGCATGTAAAATATTGTAAATTGTTGCGGTTTGCAGTCAACTCTGAGGGAAATACCCTGCACGGATAGGCGACGCTTGCAAAGATGCTTTGAGTTGTAGAGCAAAGGATTGTTCAAAAGAAGTTTTTGTAAAATTCCAGTTACTATAGAGTAGCAAATGAAGAATGACGAATTTTGTTATAAAATTTTAAATATACATATATACATTTTTGTTATTTATTATTATTTATTACTTTTATTAATCTTAATTTCTATACAATTTATTGTAAATACATGTTTATTATAATTAATTTATTTTTTAAATAGATCAAATTAATTTACTATTTTTTATTTTTAATTATCATAAATAATTTTTATGTTTATCTATATTCTATATTATTTTAAGACCTATTTCCGCAATATGAGACCACACAAATTATTTTTATTTAATGACTCCCCACTGTAGAGCATTAAATATTCGTTGCCTTGCAACACAATGACCCAATTATTTTCTGGCATTAAATTTCACAAAAATGTCGCATACTGTTTTTATTACCATTATTGCCAGAGCTCTGTGGAGATTTTGTTGTTTTTTTTTCGCTCTGCCTCTTTTGCTTCTGTTGTTGTTAAAACATTCATTGAACAATTGTCGCGCGCCATGTTTATTTTTCCGCCATAGTTTTTCAATTTATTTGCATTATTGTCTGTGTATATATTATAATTACATAAATACATATTACATGTGTTTTCCTGATGGTTTTCTGGTTAAATTATGGTTTATATGATTGGCTGATTAGATTTAATGATTTTATAACAAAGCAAATAAATTTAATTATAATTTGAATTTTTAATCGTCAAAACTTATTAGTGGAACAGCATTTATTTCGCATTCATTTCAGCATCATAAATCCGCTCTGAACCCATTGAAATGATAAATCAAGGGTATATTAATTGTGCTCCAATTTATGTAACGGGCAGAAGTAAGCAGAGCCCATATTCTTGATCACAATGACGAACTGAGTCGGTCTTTCTATGAAGATCACTATTATTATAAATATGCTTTGTATTTTCCGTTCAATCTCTTATTTTTCTTAAACTGTCGTATTCATTCGCACAAAGTCCATTATACCCTTCGTTTTCCCCTGACTCTCAGGGTATAATAAAATTATCATTCAACTGTCATCAGCAGACGCGTCGTCGCCCGTGACAATGAAAAAAATGCTAATGCAAATAAAAGCCAGATAAAAAGATGGCTGAATCGCTTTCGGCCAGCAGCTGAATGTCATTATTCACATGGCAGAAGTGAGCATTATCGTGTCCAGCAGAAGTAACAAAAAATAAGAATAGATAAAATGCCAGAGAGTCAAAGCATTAAATAAGTGAAAGTGGACACACACAAAAAAGCAACGAATAATTATGGCAAAGTACGAATAAAACCAGGCACATACAAAAAAGGCAGAAAATGCTTTACCTGATGAAGCAGAGGAAGGTAGCTAAAGCCACTTGAGATAGCAAATGACAAGCCGCACTTTCATCACAATATATATATATATATATATATATATTTATTTTTTTGTAGTCGTCTTAAATGCGCTTTGTTTGTTTTTGTTGTTGCTGTGCATTCGAAACTTAAATGGCTTAGGTTGACACTTAAAGTCTTTGATAAATGATGTTTAGCTACTGCAAGATAAAATCAACTTGCTAAGGCTTGAGCCACAAAAATGAACAGAAAATATTGACTTAAATATCTTAAAATAATCTCATAGAATTTTTATTATAAGAATATTTAAAGAGATGAAAAGATTTGCATTTAATTTAGTTTTGAAAACATACTGTATCTGCTTGGAATTGATATGAAAACCAAAATATGTATATTTGTTCTTCAAATTTTACTCGGTATAGTACTCTATAATTATATATTTAATTTTTATTTATATATAGTTGTAGAGTTTATAAGAATTTCTCTTGAATTAGTTTTGCTGCTTGTAACAGACATATAAATATATATAAGGGAGTTATTTAAATTTTTTTTTTTTTTAAGGAATTGCTAGTCAAAGGGAGCTCGATATAGAATTTACAAATTTCCAACAAATATAAAATTATAAATACTGCAAATTGCAATTTATATGATTTCTAAAAGCGTTATCTTTCCCTCTTCTTTTATTTAGTTCGTATTTTGACATCACCAATAATTCGATATTTAAATTTTACCTCTTCAGATACTTTGATTATCTTGCCTTTAAGCTTATATAACTCCTAAGGCCATAAAGCAGCCTTAAGCCTAACTGGCGGCAACTTCAGCTAATACCAAGCCAAATAGGACAGCTACAATGCCAACAAATTATCAGTTTCACATTTCACTTTGTGCAATCAGTGAGTGACCACAACAACAACTCGAGGTTAACACTTGCACCAACAACAACAACAACTATCGTCCGGACAACATCGTAAATGACGCTCAGCGAAATTGTCGAGTTTGCAGTTGGCCAAGCCAAATGTAATGCAACTAATTGATATCATTAATATGGCTTAAGCGTGGCCAAGATGTACATACAGCTATAGCTATATATACCTATATACTATATACCGTAAACTACTATATAAGTGTATGCATATATCTCTGCCTTATCGGCTTGCGTGTTAGCTAAGCTGGCATAAGCGAAGTGAAACGCAAGGGAAAACTAAAGTTTTGGTATGCGACTGTTTCTTTTTTTTTTTATTTTTTTTTTTAAATTAATAAGTGCGTGCGTTAAAGTTTCGACCACAGAAATTTAAATGCAATTAAACTTTAATCAATCGCCAAGCAAGCTGCGATCAATGCATCAACACGAACCAGCGGCCACCCCGATTGCCCCTGGCCACTCCTCGGGCTGCTGCCAGCGAGCACAACAACTCACACTCGCTCGCTGGCTGACTGACAATGCGAGCGACGGCAACAAATAACCGCAGGATAACTTCATTTGCATGCAACACACACATGCCCACACACACACACACACATTATATGTGCGTATATGTATTTGTATTTACACGTTACATGCCCAACACATTTCATTGCATACTTTTGTGCGCTGCCGCGGCAACGCGCATAAAATGTTTTTCATCTGCATATAAGTATATGATATTTATATATCTATAAATTCACACATATGTAGTATAAACGTGTATATATACACATATATGTTTTATCTGTTGTCAAAGAATTTTTATTATTGTTGTTCACTGCGTGTATTACAAGCCGGCGCACATATGAGAAAAAAGTTGAGTCTTTTATTAACAGATAGTTAAATATGCAAAATGCAAAATGAAAAGTGCATCGAGGAAGACGAATATCAAATGCTCTATATAATCATAAAAATTACTTATAAATTTATAATGCTCTGAAATAGTAGGAAATTTATTATGAAAGAAGACGAATATCAAAAGTTCTTTAAAACTTTATTATTAATAAAGAGGAATATGAAATAATCCAAAAATATACAAATATATATACTATTCAAATAAAATTACTATTACCTTCAAATACTATTCAGCTTAAAATTACTACTATTGGCATTAAAAATAAAAAAAATAAAAAAAATAAATAAATTAATAAATAAAAATAAATAAAATATTTGTTTATTTTACTTTTAATTTATAAAATAAATTTAATAGTTTTTAATAAAGTATAATATAAATATAAATATTTGAAAAAGCGTAGTAACAAATTAAATCCACTTTTAATCGCTTTATTCACAAAGAGAAAATAATAATTAATATTTATATAATTTTTTTTAGGAAAATATATCCTTTAAAATGCCTTCAATATAAACCAAAACGTAGCCCAAATCTGTCTATACTCTGCTTCTCGCCTCCAATAAACTTGTTGTCCTCAATATTTTTCATAAACTTAATCACGTAACTAATCAACTTCATTTTGTTGTTCAGCCTCGAGTACTTATGCACTGGCACTGGCAGCAAATAAAATGCTTGCAAATGAATAAATAAATACAAATTAAATAAAAATTGTGAAATTTTTACAATAACAACACATAATTGATGTCCAGTTCATTCGTAGAGGATGTGCAAACATATAAGGAAAATAAATAAAAAGTAAGCAATGGCAAAAATTTAATGAATCAGCCGCGTAATGAAGCGTCTTAAAGAGGAAGTCCACATAAATATAATGTGAGCAGAAAATATGCATAAAATTGACCAAAAAAAGACCATTAATAAATAAACTGTTGTTGTATTTGGCATTTTCGAAAAAAAAAAAAAAAAAAAAAACGAAAAGGGTTTACGGGACTATTCGATTTGCATGGAACTCTCATAAATTAGAAACTAACTGCCTCTGTCGGTTGGGTTAATGGGCAACCACGTGCGATATATGGCCCAAGCGGACGTCAAATAAAGACAGAGACTGCAAACTCGAGTCCGTTGTCCTTAAACTTTGGCTTAAAGGCGAAGCGGGTTGCCGCCACTGTTGCTGCCACTGCCGCCTGTTATATGTCACATCATTATCGACATTCACAACAAAAAGCACTTTATTGCCTTCATCAGGCGGCAGGTGCAGCAGCAGACGCTGCTTGGCTGCCAGGGCAACCCAAGATGCAGCTGGGTGGGGTGGGGGTTAGCTTGAACTCAACTCAACTCAGCTCAGTTCAGTCCGGTTCTGCTCAGATCGGTTTACTCAAGCCTATAACGGTCTATTCGCAGAGATAACGGCTATGGAAGCCGCCTGCCAGCGGCTGAGTCACGGCAATCAATAGCAGCAGCAGCAGCAGCAGCAGAAACAACAATTCGCTGCAACTATACACTGATAATAATTGCCACGCCCATAACGCCTGTTGCGGTGAGTAGCTGGCGCTTGCAGTGTGTGGCTAAAGCAATATATCTCTGTGTGTGTGTGTGTGTGTGTGGCACATGCAACACTGTGTAATAGGGGTCCACTGCTCAAAAGCTTTGCGGTGTCTATGTGTCTGTCACTGTGTGTCTGTGTGTGTATGCGGCTGCTATATAGCAGCACGAATGACTTTCAATGTGATTAAACTTGAAGAGAGAGGGAGAGACTGAGCTCTAGAACTTGCCAGCATCAATAGCAACTATTTAAAGCAAATTACGAGACATCATTCGATGGCGACATCAGCTGATAGCAGCTCTATAAAGTATAAAGAAATGAAAATATGTTGCTTAACATTTAACTGGACATTAAGTATATTTAATTTTATAAACTTTACCTTTGATTTGTATACCAAGT